CAGGCAAACCAGAAGGTGAAGTTGGCTTGGAAGTGTCGCACACGTGTTCATTCGGCAAAGCTGAGATTATCAATGAGACTGCTGGTTTTATAATGAATATTCTAATATAATCTGTAACTTTACAAACTTGTAGGAAAGTATTGTAAGTTACTTGATGTACTTGTACAAATTTAACATCCTTGTTATTTTGTATCACTTTGATTAAATGTTACTCAACCTTCTGTCTTACGTTCCGTTGTGGCAGTGGTACCGCGGCAATCAATCACGAAATACTGCGATTGTTTAAGAGTGAAATATGGTGATATTACCGGGATAGCTTCCTCCCCCGTGGACCAGATGAGGCGGCCTGTAATTGTGCCCTGATCATCCACCCACATTCATCTTCATTAATGATTTACAACAATTTCCAACAAAAATAGAATTTGTGCTCGTTTGTCAGACCACTGGGCGGCGGCCATGTACCTGTGTGTCATGGCAACTACAGGGGGAACTTATCCGTCAACGAGTTTTTGTTTGCTTCGTTACGTCTGTCAAGTCAGAGTCCTGTTGTAGCTAAATCCGAAAGTTTACTCCGAGCCTGCGTACTAAGGCTGCAGCACTATACAATAGACGCTGGAGTTTTATCAAACAAAACGCAGCGAACAGCCAAATCACGCGGCGTTGTCTCTACTATCCTTAATTTACATTACACCAGATACAGTCGCTTTGTGTGCAAAACAAAAGGGCTTATCAACGACCAACGCATCCGGCGAAGTGGTATAACCAGACAATTCTTTAGCACTTAGAGAATTGGGGCATCTGCTTTTGTTTACCGGCGGGCGACGGCGTGGAGGCTGCGGCACGGCGGCGTGGCGGCTGCGTGGCGGCCACGTCCCACCACCCTAATTAATATTCATAATCGCACGAAAGAAACCGCAGTTTATTCATCTTAACTGTTTTATATCGCAATTTTGTGCTCAAATAATTAATGGACGTTGCTTTGTTCGGCACCTAATTGATTAAGTTCTGTAATTCGGTTATTAATATTGTTTTACTCGCACCTCGTGAATATAAATTTATCGCCAGGAATAGCCCAGTACATACACCGGCATTGTTCCTCAATGTTGTATGTCTGTTGATGATCTGTTTCAATGGAAACAATCAAAGTGTTGATCGTGTCGGTCGCACATCGAGTCTAATCTCGTAAGCTATTCGATAGCATTTACTTGAAGAGGATTTAAACCTCCTTCACTGGAGTCCGTTTGCTTTGGTTTTCATGCGATAATTGTATACGAGTGAAGTTGTACTTATCTAAAGTGGAGTCGCCTTTTATATTTCTTTGTGAGCGCTATCGTTTGAATGACGGAGCGCGCCTGTTTTTGCCTCACTGAGCCAACATCCACTTAGGCATCGTTTATCATTGTTGTTTACTCTTTGACGCCTTCCCTTTGAGTTAATACCTCCGCTATAATTATTCAGATAATCTATTTATTTAGGCATAGGATGTTTTTATCGTATTTTACAAAGAACGCGGCATCGTTCATTGTTGTTCGTTGTTTTGGGCGGTAAATATTATTCCAAGAAGAACAACATTTACTAAATTATATTCTGGACAAGTAACTTTAGAATAGTTCAAAATTATTATAAAACTAGCTTGTTGAAAGGTCGGTAATGAACCCCGGATGTTACGGTTGACGTCTGCAGTAACATCGAGTAGACCGGTTTTAATCTAATTACTTGAGCGGAAGAGCTGTTCAAACGAAATAGTTGAGCACACATACTGCTAAGCAAGTAGTTAAGCTAACACGTGCTGTGCGCTGCTCGTCCCCGGGGATTACACAGCTTGGAGCACGGCACATGACGTCACTTTATTTTTTCCTCTCAAATTTTCTTAGTAGCAAGATGGCTGCACGTGTGAGTCATTTGGTAATTCTGACATTTTTATGTGTTAGCACAATTATTATGTTCCTTGCTAACTTTAAGCAAAATATATTTCTTTATTACTTTTCCTGGTACTTATTTAATAATTCATGTCAACACAAACAGCTAAGAGGACAAGAAATATATAAAATTCTAGTACATAGGTCTGGTCTTTAATAACGAGTGTAAGCACTGCCTTATCCTGTGTAGTACAACAAAATATTTTACTGAAAGCTACCGGCTATGTCGCCCATTAATATCTAGCACATAGTTCGAACAAATGTGATGAACACAACAATGACAAGGGTAATAAAAGGCTAACAAGATATGATGCCTTCTAGTTATAATTTGATAGAAAACAGATATCCAGTACTCACAATAATAATTACCTAACCAGTATGTACTAATATAATACAAAAGTAGGCTAACTACAATAAAAGTGTAAATTCTTGAGGGACAGGCACGTTCCAGGTGTTATTACAGCTGTAATGTAGAGGTGCAGACAGACTGTAGCCTTTACGAGGCTCGCGAGAACCGGACGGGCTTTGCTTGAGGATCAACGGTAATACCTTGTTTCGTACCGATACTGGCCGGATTATTAAAATAATATCCACCGCCCTGTGACACTGATGTTATTAGTGAAACAAGTTATATAAGCTTATATCATAACTTTCTAACTTTAATGGACATGTAGAAAGGATGGATGAGTGTAGAGTAACTAAAGAAGTATACAGAGCGGATATGAATGGGGCCGTCGGTAGAGGGCGCCCTAGACGGACATATAGTGACCAGATTGGCGATATATTAAAGAAGGGCCAAATTAAAAGTGCCCTTAACCGACGAGCATGCATGAAAAGATTGATGACTGTTAATGAAGCGAAAGAGGTATGTAAGAATCGTGGTAATTGGCGTTCCTTAGTTTCTGCCTACCCCCATGGGAGACAGGCGTGAAGTTATGTATGTATGTACTTTCGTGAGACATACTAAATAAACTCACATAACTGTTTGACGAGTAGGAAGTAGTAGCAGCGCGACAGTTGCGTCGCGGGTCGCAGAATGGTGCTCATCATATGAGCCTCTAGCATGGCTTGAAACTAGTCGAGTTCGTCGTCAAATAATTACGTGAGTAAGCCGAAAATGTAATCCTGCGCGGACATTACGGACTTCACGGTTGTCGCGGTGGCTGGGTAACGTGTAGCGGGTTTGATTCTTGCACGGAGCAACTTTTTGTGTGATCCACAAATTGTTATTTCAGGTCTGGGTGTCACGTGTATGTGAACTTGTGTGCTTGTAAACGCACCCACGACACTGGAAAAAACGCCAGTGTGGGGCAAAGTTTCAAAAAAATGATTAAACTTTGTATATATTGTTATGTTCAGCCTTCGTATTAGTTACTTGCTAATTAAGTTAGCAGTACCATTGCACGCCGCATAGGTATGTACTCCGGGCACTGTTCCAGACTCCGTGCTGATATTACTATGTATGTAGGCACCAATATAACTTGGCTGACTTTACATAATTTTAGAAAAATTACTATTTTGTCATGAGAATCTTGGTCTTTGTATATTTGTACTTTATAATACGTGTTGTTTATACGCGCCGACATTAGTGTGAGCTTGTATTACGAGTTCACACAAACAGTTACTTAATATTTCCTTAGCTTGAGAGGAAAGGTATGTATTATAAATGATGTAACACAATATTTCTCTTTAGTGAAACAACATGATTTCTTTTTCAATTTCTACAACAAAGTGTGTTAATAAGAGTTTCTTGGAAATGAGCGAACAATAATAATATGTGAACAGCGCTCAGCCTCTGCGAGCGGAGAGAGGCCGGTAGTACTAGGTACCTACACTTACGTACTGACGTACTACATGTGTACCTATTTCCAGTAAAATATTAAACATGGCTCCGTGAGGAATATACTCCGTACTGTAATACTTATTATAACAGCATTATATTGTACAGGAACAGCGTTCGAGGCTCGTTTATTTTACAACTAGTGCCTCGGATGTTCATGATGTAGAGCATCCGTTCTTACTATAATATATTTGGTTTATGGGGCATCAATAACATTTGTAGTAAAGTCTTGCAATCTTTTGGATGCAATAGTAATTGAATGAATCCATAGACTTACAGAAAATATCATAATACATAGTACCTAGCTCCATACAAAACTTATGTGTACATAATTTGAGCCATAATAATTAGCTGTAGTGTAAGTATAAAATGTTCCCGCTAAAAGTACATAACAAAGTAAAGTGCGATAAGCTCCGGCACTGTAAGTGATAATTCACAAAATTCAGGTGAAGCTATATTTAAACTTGGGAAGCCTTAACATACTTCACACGATATTATTAAAGTTGTTAAAATACAAGTTTGGAATAGTTCCTGTGACTCGCATGAATTATGGACAATGTTTTGTATACAGTTTTGTACGCTTTATTTTATAACTGCTTGTGGAAACTAAATATAGGGCTGAGCCCCGACTTCCTTCACTAGGTAGCAACTGAAAGAGGTGGACACGTGGACAGTCAGAACGTTACAGGCACACGAGGCACGCCGCCGTAACTGACAGACGCGCCGACCCTTTGATCTGCCAGTCAAACATTTACATTATTCACTCGAAAAATTAGTGTTCCGACTAAATGTTCCGAGCTACACCTTGTGTAAAATTAATTTCCTCGCCTTTATAGAAGAAGCGTTATATTAAAAGGCACTAGAGAGTGAGCACGCTGTACACCTGCAGGCGCGAGTTTATCAGCGAGCTACAAATTTATGACGTGATCAGCGTATCGCGGCCCGTAATACCGGTAATGCCAGTAATGAAGTGTTTGAACCGGGAGCGCAACCCCCCACACTGCCACCCGCCGGTAATTAGACACTACTTCATAACCGCGCGGGAAAAACTGCGGTTCTACGCTAAAAGTTCAGAGTGTACATAGAATATTTGAACATAGTTATGATATTTGTCGATAAGGTAGATTTTCGTAAATCAAAAATTATCAGGTAGTATTCAATACTGTGAATGTGAATAAGTATATGAAAAGTGACGACTCGAGTAAAGCTACTCGGCTAATATTCACGTCGCGTTCTCTTACATCTCAATCCTGGCCTAAATTGGAGTAATAAACATTTATAGCACTTATAACGGAGTTCCGGTGAGATGACGGCAGGGAGGCGGCAGGGAGGCGACACAGGGGCGACACGGGGGCGACACGAGTGTGGCACGGGAGCGCGACGCACGCACCGCGCGATACGGCACGCGCCGGCCATTGTGCCGGGAACTACTGCGTTGCAATTAGGTCGTACGCATGCCTGCGATGTAGGAACACTAATAAACTTGGTAGCTGGATACTAAGTGCTGAACCTTTAATAAGTTATTATGATATTGTATTAAGAGTTCCAGTTAGGAGACAAAATTAAGTAAGGAGGTTCGTGTGGAGTATGTTTTCGGTGCAGTATGGGGCTCGACCGCTTCTCGGTATACCCGACTCTCTTCATAGCCAGTTTAATAAAGAATTCTCTATATTTATTTCTGAAATAAATTCTACAATTATTTTCCCTTCTTTATCTTCTTCAGACCTGACCTTCAAGTCGTTACGTATTAAGTTCTAAGACGATGATAAGCGCCAACACGTTTATGACTTTAAAACATTACCTCGACGTTGTTGACCCGCCCGGTACCAGTTCATTTATATTGTTACCTCGGGTTAAAAGTTACAGACTTACACTCGACATAACAAAAGAAATACTCATAAGCAGTGCCATATCCAAATCGTAATATAAAATGGTAAGCAAAGGCCCCATTACAAATACGAGTGATCGAAAAAGTGAAGTGGTGAGCGGGCCGCATTGTCCGTGCACATCGATGGCGCACCACTTGAGCTGTAACGCCTCTTGCCCTCAAAACCCGCTTTGTATAGCGCACACGGTATAGGGACGGGTGCACGGGTTGTTTCAATTCTTTTGCAAACTTTTGTTGTTTCTGTAATGTTGTTAGTGAAGTGAATTATTAAATGTTGGTTTTGAGTGAGTTTTTGAATTTTATTCTTATATAGGTTTGTTGTATTTATTATGTATTAGTATAAACGATACATTATTAAAGTATATCTAGTAATATAAATTGCAGTTAAATTGTGAGTACGTTATTTAAAACTTTCATTTTATAGGAATATTATTTGAATGTTAAATGAAAACTGATATTCAAATAACATTGAATTCAGTAGTGTAGTCGATTGTTACCTGTTTTGATTATTTAATAAGTAGGTGTATGGTGTATCGCGATAAATAATCTCAATTCGTCCTCGTAATTTGAAACATCGAAGCAAGTCTTCCAAGTGAACGTCTCTGAAGTCACGGAGCTATCGATTGGCGGCAGCCATTTACAAGCCCCTCACGGCTCATTCATTATAAATTTATCAATTCACTAACCCTTTCCGAACCAATTAACTAACGCTGACAGGCCAATCAAAACGCCAACGACTGCATTATGTCTGAATAATCAGTCGCCGCGAAATTCAGACGCAATTATTTATCGTTTTGTGCGGAGCTGCCGTGGGTTCGTCTCAATAAATAAACACAATGGCCGCGGAAGACAAAGCGAACAATGCTATTGTTTCTGTGTACGCCGGACGTCGCTGTCGTCGTCGCCAGTCAGAGGCTCGGAGCCTCCGAGCCTCAGAGGTTACGCCACCGTCACACCGTCACCCCTCCACACAAACCCTAAACGTCTGAATACTTAATGTGATTGCTGCTGTTTGCAATGTATTCTGCAAATTAATGAAAACTGATTGCAACAACCACTTCAACCTGCCAAGTACTCGTCAAATGAAATCTTAATTTAAGTTCTAATAGTTCAATAGCGTGACAGTTCATTTCAAATTGAACAACCAATTTGTATAAAAGACAAAGATATTTAGGGATTCTCAGAATAGATTCGAGTACTCTAAGAAAGCTTCAATTACTATTTGAAATGGACCTAAGCAGCAGATAAGTAACAAACTATTTGCGTAACACACTCGTGGATATCCTCACAGTCCAATATATGTAAAGAAGTTGCCAAAGTTTTTCCAACTAAAGCCTTTTCAATTTGGCTGGTTTGACTTAGCAGTATTAGTGTTGGCCTCCACAGTGCTATCAGCAGTCTATCAAATTGATTGACACGGGCCTCGCCTACAAAACGAAGAAAAATATGGCTTCAAGCGTTTATTAAGATTGATAGCCGCCGCTGTAGTGATTCGCGACCGGATGCGACCCAATACAGCTTTGCATTTAGCAAATATCGCGTTGTCATTGCTTATGATTATCAATATCAATTGTGTATTAAAATATTCATACAGCGCATTGATTTAACACAAACAAATAACTATTTGTATGAAAATTGGAGAATTTCATTATTACTCTTGCAATTTGAGGCTAAAAATAGTTGAAAATAGTTGGTGTACCGCGTACATTGTCCGTTTTGATCGTGTAATTGAATCAGTGCAGCTTGGTCGCGGATATCGAGCGGGCAATGGAATGAGTGCGCACTAATAAACACAATTCGGTTGTGATGCACAAACCGCTCATCATTTTTAGCGGGCCTCAGCGAACTGGCGGTGTATGTATGTATGGCGAGCGTGTTCCAATCAGCTGCATTGTTTCTAGCACAAGTATAATGGAGCGGCCGCCCCGACATGTAACTTAATTGATGACATAATTAACTTGTGACTGTTTTTGTGGTTGACTCCTACTTCCTACTATACGCAGTTTTTTGTTAGTAGTTACCTCTCACGGTTTGTTTTTACCTCGTGTTCAGTATATTTTAGCCTAGATAAATAAGAGATCACTACCAGTACATAACTATATTGAAAGGCATCTTACTGATAGGCGATACGTTTGATAACAAAATAACTATAGTACATAGGTATATACATAAATACATCCAGTATTGATGTTAGGAAAACTAAAACAATATCTCGAGTTACGAGCCGGGTTTCTTCGAAGCTCTCCAAGTAGGAGTATATACTACTGAGTGAGTGTACCTACTGAGTAGACACTGAGTAGGTACTAATACTTATAGGGACTGCTTCAGTATTACGCAAAGACGGACAAGTTGAACATCGACCGGGCTGTTTGTCAGGATTATTGGTTAATTGCTCAATAGTTTTGTTTTATAAACAAGCGCTTAGTAGGTAATGGGTACTTGTGTTTAATGCTGGAAAGGGAAGGTATCTTAAACTTTCTTGTATTTACTCACTTTATTTATTACCGCACTACTTTACTTATGTAAACTATTTGATTGTTTTTAAGTGCACTTTAAGTTGAATAATATTTTTACATAAAGGATAACTAGAGTGGAGTTTAATGGAAGACCCATTATTGGGTACTAATGACATAAATAGCAGCAGAAATGAGTGTAGTGGAGAATTAGATGCCAGGAATATTAGAATAAATTACATTGACTTTAAAATCCTCAATCAAGTTTGAAATAGGTAATTCCTGGTTCGGTCTTAACTTGTTTCAGAGTCGTGAGTTCAGTCTGGATAATTCGAGGCACTCCAAGCAAGTCTCAAGTCGTCCGGTTCGGAAATGCTGTAATAATATTAAATATCCGGGCCGTACGCCGCCGTGCCGGCACACCGCAAGGCCGGCCCGAGACCGCACTGCCGTACGAGCACCGCTCCCGACTGAAACTAACATCTATTCCTTGCTTTGATACCACGGCTTCACTTCTACGATAGATTTTCATTTTAATATTAAATGCAGAGGGAAATTTCAACAACAAGCATTTAATTTTCCTTTAGCCACCGGCTGCGTCGTGCGGTGACTTGGTGCCGCCATAAACCATGCTTCGACAAGAATGGGCCGGCTCGACCTGAGTGATACTACGGCCTCATAGACAACCGATGTGAAACAACGCTTGCATTGTGCGTCGTGTGAATGCGGTTACCAGAGGCCCAATTACCCCTCCCCTCCCCTAATGCCTGAATCCCCAACAATACTCAAATTCCTAATAACCGATAACGCACTTGTAATGCCTCTGGTGTTCCTAGTCCATAGTCCATTGCTTACCATCAAGTGATACGGGCGCTCGTTTCGCGGCTTATCACATAAAAAACACATATTCAAGAGAGGCCGCAGCAGCAGATCTCTAACCCACCAGCTAGTCGTAGAGATAATCCTCTTATGTAGAAAAGGCCTCTAGAACATGTGGAATATGATAGCGAGATTTGATGAGATTGATCAATGTCCATAATTTTACACTAACAGCAACATATGTTATTTTAATATTTCTACAAATGTAATGTCAATATAAAAGGCTACTTAACCAATACACAGTTAGAATGGAACATATTTGTGAGTATTTGGTAACCGCCAACAGTCGGCCAAAGAAAACATCGCGGAAAGTATTGAGCTCAAAGCAAACGAACTAGAGACCTCCTTACGGACATTCGAAAATTTGATGAAACTTTTTGTACGGAGAATTTTATTTCAGTGCAAGTGGCTACTATTCGTTTTTCGTTCTTTTTGTTAAGTTGAATGAATTTTGGAGAGATTTTATTTCTGTTTACATTTTAGATACCACGGGGCAACAATATTCAAACTATTCAAAGTGTTATTCAATTGCTTGGATAAAGCTACAAGTTCACGTATCCGTGTACATCCCGTGTATTGTCATCAATTCCTATAAATTATTCCGGTCGGGACGGGTGTAGGTGTCAGTGCAAACTTTCTGTCTTGTCGAGTTATCGACGCAGCCATAAATTGTTTGAGCATTTTAAGAATAAGGCGACAGCAGCGCCCCCTGCACGCCTGTTCCGACACTACGCCGTGTTATACTTTATTCAGTCGGAATGTTCCCGTGAGACAATGCTGTTTTTCTACATTTTCCCGCAGAAAATTGCACTTCATCCCGTTGGTGTTGGTGCTAAACTGTTTACTTGTACTCGTCTATAAACATATTTGTATTGCAATGGTTTGTTCCGCCATTTTAAGATTAGATCTGTTTAATCCGTCAAACACCAAGCGGTCACCGGTGACCGCGACCTATTGTTCTTTAATTGTGTCTATAAAACCGGTACTCGACGAGTTAATTAAGAAAATTGTTTTTTCAACAACCAACTCGATGTCTGCTTGGATGTTAATAAAAATAATTAAAAGTTACCAATGTATATTTAACGACGACTAGTCGAACAAAAGTCAGTCACAATACACACGAACTAAAAGTTTCGAGAGCTGTTGAAGTTGTAAGAAACCGACATATTTAATTCAGTCCCAAGTTCAACGGCGAC